ATTAATAAAATAGTAAACTTAACTCCATAGCAGCAGCTGCATGGAACATTTAGTTACTCAAGCTTACCCCAAGATTTGGGTGTGTTGTGGGTTTTTTTAGAACTCCACACACATGTTCAGAAAGATCCACCCACCCTGATTAAGAATACAAGAGAAATGTTTAAGAAACTGAATTAATTGTTAAAAGAGCCAGGGAAACGTAAAATTTACTCACTTCATAATTGACTTCCTGATAATATATAAGTTGCAAACAATTAAATATTGCTTCAGATGCTTTCTAGAAAACTTCCAATTTCTCTTCTCTGCCTTTCTGAGTGGCTCATCCAGGTGTACTTGTTGCCAAAATTAACAAACCCAGTTAAAGAAGCTTGGCTCCTTGTGCTCTGTTCAAAGTTGCTCAGTGTTCGCGAAGGCTTTCACGGCCGGGATCTAATGGTTGTTGTGGGTTTTTCAGGCTTCTTGGCCGTGTTCTGAAGGTGGTTCTTCCTAACGTTTCGCCAGTCTCTGTGGCCGGCATCTTCAGAGGACAGCAAACTGTGCTCTGGGTAGGTTGTTGGGAATTTCATTAAGGATCGGATGGTGAGAGAAGAATTAAAGCTCTCTTGTAATGGTCACCCTGATCTAGATGAGACCCTTACACACCTACTTCTAAATTTAAAAAAAAGCAACACAGAAACTATTCCTCGCCTCTGGAATAACCTACCTCCTGATATTCATGCGGCTCCCTCACTGGGCACTTTTAAAAATCAACTAAAAACACTGATGTTTCGGCAGGCCTTCCCCTTAGTCAATTCCTGATCTCCCCTCTCTCTCCACTCCCTATTGTCTGTTCCATCTTGCTGCAAGTTTTCCCTTATGTAAAATTGCTTTTAATTGTTGATAGGGGACGTGGTGGCGCTGTGGGCTAAACCGCAGAAGCCTGTGCTGCAGGGTCAGAAGACCAAGCAGTCGTAAGATCGAATCCACGCAACGGAGTGAGCGCCCGTTGCTTGTCCCAGCTCCCGCCAACCTAGCGGTTCGAAAGCATGCAAATGCAAGTAGATAAATAGGGACCTCCTCGGTGGGAAGGTAACAGCGTTCCGTGTCTAAGTTGTACTGGCCATGTGACCACGGAAGATTGTCTTCTGACAAAACGCTGGCTCTATGGCTTGGAAACGGGGATGAGCACCGCCCCCTAGAGTCGAACATGACTGGACAAAAAAAAATTGTCAAGGGGAACCTTTACCTTTACATTGTTGTTGTTTTTTGTTGTTGTAAGCCGCCTAGAGTGGTCTTAATTGATTAGATAGGCGAAATATAAATAAAATAAATAAATAAACTACAGCTATTAATCTACGATTATAAAGAGCAATCCTATACTGCACTATACAGACACTTTCCGGGGAGTAAATTCCATTGAATTCCATGTCACTTGTTTCTGGTCACATTGGGTTGTGCTGAGAGTTACTGAAAAGACTTTCTCTTACTTAATTATCATAAAATATGCTTTTCTGAAATATATGGCATATAATCAGTAACTAGAACAGCACTTTTAGTGTCAGTTTTAGGGATGGGGCTCTCATAATTTTGGACTACAGCTCTTAGGGGTTTGCTAGAATGGCTTCAGCCAGGATTCTGGGAGTCTTAGCTCCTCAACCCCCCTCCCAAAAGCAACAGCAACACAGCATTGTAGTGCCTCTCAGGTAACTACAATATCCTAATGCTTTGCAGTGCCATAGAACTTAGCCCCACGCAGCCAGTTCCTCCTTTGTCAGACAGCCTCAGAACTCAGAAATTGAGATATATTTTAATATAACTACATAGTATTATGGCTGCACAGTAGTGCTGTGATGTTATTGTGTTGGCAGAGCAAATCAACATTCTACAAGGCAATTCTAAAAATGAGGACAGTCCAAACAAATAATTATAAGTGGTCCTCACCGACCAGATAGGCGGGGTATAAATAAAATAAATAAATAAATAAATAAACTTTGAATGTATTCGCGAAGGCTTTCACGGCCAGGATCTAATGGTTGTTGTGGGTTTTTCGGGCTCTTTGGCCATGTTCTGAAGGTTGTTCTTCCTAACGTTTCATCAGTCTCTGTGGCCGGCATCTTCAGAGGACAGCACTCTGTGCTATAACTTTGAAACTAGACTTCAGATCAGCATCACATTTGGCACAGATGTAGTAAACAAACTGTTCTTGCTTTGGGGATGTTTGGCGAAAGGGTTTTCAAGTTATGATTTTATTTTAAAAAATAAAACAGTTTCCCTCCTGCAGAAACAAGCAACCCTAAATGTGTGCAGATTTAAAATAGCCCATACAAACTGAATTTACCAATCTTGCTTATTTTGAAAGTGAATGATTGACCCCACCCACTTTTTTAATTTGGAAGGAATCCAACTTGCAAGGGCTGATGTTTTTGCCACTGGCACAAGGATACTTCCACTAACTCATTGCTGAAGCAAAAGGGAGAGTTTCTCATTGTGGGTTGTTGCATGCAGACACAAATCCAAATGAGAAACGAGTCTCAGGATGCATAAAAATGTAAATGATCTTTATTCTGATTTAAAAATACTCAATGTGTTTCAGCACTCAGCCTTCTTCAGGAGCTATATATTAAAATATATGTTGTTGGTTGTTGGTAGTGCAACAGCAGTGTTTTCATGAGCAGCAGATCCCATGTTACCCATGCCTGGATGATTTCCACTCTGTACATGCTCAGTAAATTCTGGCCAAGGTTTGTAAGTGAGCTCATGGCTGGTTTTGTATTTGAACCCAGGTTTTCAGTCTATTATTTACTATACTGAACAGGATTTCATATAAGAATGTATGAATATGACAGGCATGTGAAAGCTTAAAAGTGTCTAAGTTGAACATAAAATTGCTACATATAGGTTATTCCATCTTCTATGGAATCTGTCCTGTTTTTACAATCTATGAAATTCAGAAAAAGTATAAGAATAACCTTTAATATCAGTCCATGCTCCTAACCACCAGCTTCTCTAAGCTGTCAAGATAAAATAAAACAGGGGCAGAAAATTTATGTGCTGACCTTCTAAAACAATTCCTTCTCATATAGAAGTTAAAAGTCCCTCTTTTCACATTTGGTGGGTATTTAAGTTTGCCCTTGATTTTTACACAAAGCTCAACCATCTGTATGAATGTCTAGATACATTTTCCAGTTTTATAGTCCATCTGGGGGAATGGAAAGGAAGGAGAAATACCATATTAATGCTTTAAAAATCTCTTCTGAATAGCTGATAGCTTCTGGAAAGAGGTAATTTTTAAACTTTAAAGCTTTCCTGGGAATTGGGTAGGGAAAGAAAATCACCACATGAATATTTTTTGCAAATCCCATCTGATTATCTTCTAGTTCCTGGAGACAGTTAAATTAACCATCTCCTTTGTATCAGTAGTTACCAGCTGTCAGACAGATGTCAGACAAAGGATGGTCTATTTGTTACAAAAGTGGCAGGCTCTGCAAACCTATGTATGTTTACTTAGAACTTGTTTTCAGTAGGATATTTCCAGCTAAATGTGCATATGATTCCATCCTGAGATCCTCATAACAATGTGTTAAGTAATAACTAGTGATAACTGATGATAAAATTAACATTTGCATTAATTATGTAGTACGTATATCAAAATCAAAACAAACACTGAAGCACCTTGGAGACTAAGAAACAAAGATCCCATTTGACTTTGTTTTGTTTTACATGCTGAAACACACTAAGGGTGGGACTACATTGATTTAAAAAATGTGGGAAATGCTCTAGGATTGGGATGGGCTGATTTGCTTTTTTTCCTGTTGACCACATGACACAAAAGAAAATGTGAATCAGCCCAGAATTTCCCCCCACAATATGTAGCTTTTGCCTTCACCACTGGCACTTCTACTTTTGAAAACAATGAATCAACTTGCATTGATTAGAAGGTGTGAACACTTGATCCAAATGGAGAAAAGTTGCTACACCAGCACACACTCGTAAGAATGAAGAGCAAAACCTCTCTCTGTCAGCAAGACTTTTCAATTTCTTTTTAGGCATCTTAGGAATGGTGAGCAAAGCTTCTCTCCATCAGCAAGACTTTTCTTTTTTGAAAAGAAAAAGACAACAAAGACAAGGAAATGAGAGAAGGAAACCCTTATTTACAACTCATTAGTTCCTCACAAATACACCTCCTGAAGGGCTACAAGAGGAATGCAAAGAAGCTGCAAACAAGGTTTTTCTCCTCTTTCCATCTTTGCCTTGCTGTGTAGTTGCAACCAAATAAAATTATCTGCTTAAAGATAAAAATCTGTAGTATGATGCTCCCTGTGTTGTTTTCTTTACTTGAAATTTGTGGGAGCCTGAGCTGGAAGGATCAGAACTACCATTATGAAACAGATTTAATCCTTCTTTCATCAGCCAGTTCCTTCATGAAAATCTTACAAAATTCCTAAACTCCTGGACCAAACTAGCACTTTCTTACTTGAATGGTTAAAATTCAGAACCAAAATGCTCTCTTAGTATATTGAGGGAGATAACAGATATGTGGTTGAGCTTTTTTTTAAAGTGAGCTCATTTTTTAAAAAAAATCAAAATTAAATGTTAAACTATTTTGAGGGAAAGAGAAAGACAGGCAAAATGTAAGAAGATAGTAGCAAATGGCTATGCCACTCAATAGCAACCAAGACACAAGAGGTCCATTTTTGTCAGCAAGTAACTGGCTTTAGAGGCAAGAGATGGGGAGATCGATTCCATACAGTCACAATATCAACAACTTTGAAGCACTGCTGATGTAATGTAACCATGATTGTGTGGTCTGCTAACCAACTGTACACTTCCACTACGGTGAGTTCGCTGGCATCAAGCCTTAATGTGACTTTTTGGAGTTTTCCATTTAAGGAACATTCTCCTCCTTATTTGGACCATATCAGAGTTTGTTGTTGTTGTTACATGCTGTCAAGTTAGAACCAACTTCTAGCAACACCAATAGGGTTTTCAAGATAAGTGAGATATTTAAAGAGTGGTTTTACCAGTTACACTCTCCCGGTCAGTTTCCACGGCTGAGTGGAGGATTCAAACCATGTTCTCCAGAGTCCTAGTTCATCACTCTGTCCACTACTACTGCCTACAATCTCTAAATTCTCACAGTTTCAAGGCTAGATAGAACTGGGAGAACAGAGAGAAAGAAACTAATTTTTAACTGTGTGAATCATTTATCACAAACCCTTTTTATCATGTGCACCACAGTACAGGTCAATAAAAAGTTGGTTTATCAGTGACTAAATTTAACCATTGGGTTACTATATTTGATTATGTTACTTGGCCCATGGTGGATAATATTCCTGCAAATTCAGAACAGATCATCAGCTTGGTTGTGGGAGACAGAATGTGTCCCTCAAATGTGCATGCTTTTAAATGGCTCTCTGAACAACTAACTGTTCATTCATACTGAAGGTAACAAAAAGCCCTGTAAGCATCTCTAAATCGGTCTGTATGTTTTTGTATCCCAGTTTATTTCTTATGCCTTGGCTTCCTGTTGCTTTGTTCTGAAAGCGTTTTGCTTCTGCAGTTGCTTACTGCTCTTTTAACGAAGGCAAATGAATAAACAAATGACATCTTAGCCGCCATTCCAAGCCTCCCACTGACAAACCCACTTTGTTCTGATGTGGGATATACAGCATTTAGCAAAGCTAGCCATCTGGGACGTGGCAGGATATGTGGTGAATGCTCCAGGGTATCTCAAATGCTGTCTCGTTAGATTATGTTTAAGAAAGCAACAGACATGCCACCCCACCCCACTTCCATTTTACCATTCAAAGAGTTTGGGATATGAAATCTCTAAATCCGTTTTCTTAAAAAATATATGTATATGTATTTTTTTTACTATGAGCTCTTATGGGGTTAAAATGGACTGACTAAAAGAACAAAGACTTTGGGGTTGTGTTAGGTAGCTCAAAGAGAGTGTTTACCTAATACCTAGCCTTTTCTGGGATGGGATTGAGAGTAACTGTGTTAGAGGACAACTACATTGGCCATTTGCTCCACGTTGTACATTCATCTGGGCACAGATGAATTCGAATTAAAACCCACTGACTACATAATGTAAGGCTCAACGTGGGGAAGCAGAGGCGGTTTGATTTCAGTGTGATTGCATGATCTGATGGAAAGGTCCACTCACTGGGGTGTCAGTTCTTCTCAGCTGAGTGGCTCTTGTCTCCAAACAGTTTATTTTTTTAAAAAATAAACTCAATCCTGGAACACACTATCACTAGGGCACTTAGGAGAACAACAGAAAAGAGAGAATTGCAAATTAGCACTTGTTACCAACTTCTGCTGGTGGTGTTTGCTGCCCCTGCTGACTCCTGCTAAGTGTCATCTGGATGGCTACAGTAATTTCACCTGGGGAAAGCCAATTTCCATGGCTGTGAATTACAGTGGATCAGGTGCTGTGTAGTTGCATCCTTAGTCTACTGCTGTAAAAACAACTAAGGCCAGCATGTTGATGGCAGCACAACACACACCTCGCCAAACAGCATATCTGCTTATGGACTGTTAGTTGTAACTCCCTAAATATGAATAAACTTCAGCTTCCATGGTTGTTCTGGGTTTTTCGGGCTCTTTGGCTGTGTTCTGAAGGTTGTTCTTCCTGATGTTTC